AAATAAACAGCAAATAACACACGTGGTGCTCAGTTGGATTGGAATTGCAAAACACAAAACAGGCTCCTTTTGTGGCCATGTGATATATTTAGGACCACGAGGTGGGTTTTATCGTTATGAACTACACTGTGTTGATAGATGCTATTGATTTACCAGGGATCACGCAGCGGAATTAAAGATCCGTTCAGGATGAGCAGGAGGGAAGTGTGACTTCGGGAGCAGCTGGTCACTTCAGGAGCGCGAGCTTGGCAGCAGGGATGTTTCTGCTTCTTGGATTAAGAGGAAAAAGTGAAGTGGGGTAAAACTCCCATTAGTGGAAGTGCAACCGCTGGGAACACGGCTGCAGTTTATCAGCGGAAGGACCGTGTCGTCCCAGCCCTAGGTTTGAAAGAACASCCCTATCAGAAGCCAGGGATAACAACAGGAAGAAACTGTTTTCGTCAGCAATACTTTCTGTCTCTAAACTGGTTCTAACTCAAAAGGTCAAATAATTTGCTGTAGAACCGCTAATTAAAGCATATTTTGTATTTTGTATCTTTCTTAAAAGAGGCAACAGCTTTACCTCTTCCAAATATCTTTCAATAGRCACATGCATTTATTCTATTTTGTTAAAATGTAATGTACTTTTAACAAAGGGAATGTATATTCCCAGAGTATGGATTTTTAAATACTATTAGTCTAACATAGCTGAAATCAAAGCGTTTTATGAAGACCTAGCAGTTTCTCGTAAACTTCTCAGAAGAGAGCCCAGAAGGAACCCTTGGGTCCAGAGGGGAATTTCTGGTCAGAAACATAAAGAAGAGGCAAAAAATACTCCAAACAAAGCAGGTCAGTCTCCTGAGATGGGAGAATGGTGCATTCGAACCTCTGTCTGCTCAGCTCAGATAACAACTTGACCTGGAATATCTGCCTCCCAAATAACCATGGCTCTATCTCTCCCTCTTTCAGATTTCACAAGTATGTCAAAAAGCGTTGTTTTCATCTCAGTGCAAAGTATCTTGACATCTACAAAAGGTTTTGGAGATGAAAAGAAAGCAATTCCCACACAGGTTACAGCAAGATCTTTAAATTGTAGGTAAAATCAGGGTGAACAGGCAGTAGGCACTGCTCTGCCATTGATGAAATGCCTACTTTTAATGCACACCAGGAAGCAGCATTCCTTGTAAGAAGTCCTAATCAGTGTACTACAGTCTTGCTTTTAATTTGCTCAAAGGCTTATGTTTTTAAAATGACCCTTCCACCTACTCTATTAATTACAAAGTCAAGAATAAACCAGACTTCCCTATGGCATGGGTGTAAAATCTGGAGATTGGGAGCTAACCTGGTTTCAGGCTCATGCATAAATTAAACAGCGTGTGCTCCAAGTGCACATCATTTAAAAAATGTGTTCTATAAAATGTCTAATATTTAGAGCTTATAATGCATACAAGAGGCCAGTTTAAAAGATGGAGATAAAATGTTGCATGGATTCTGTTTAAAAGATTAATTTAAAAAATATTATTTCCTGACTGCTGCAAGAATTTTAATGATGCATGCCAAGCTTTTAAAAATTTGCAGGTGCTTTTGGACACTCCATGTGGGGCATCTCAAGAACACCGATTTTCAGAAATTCTCCCAAGAGATGCCTCAATTTTGGCAATAATGACAAACAAATTCACAGGTGACCCACAAAGTACTTTGGCCTCAGTTTCCTTCAGGACATTGAGATTTAACCCAAAAAATCTCACGAATCAATCACCATCAAAAATTTTCATGCAGTTAAAACTCATTTGGAGAAAGGTTGCTCAGATCCAGAATGTAATTTCTGAAGTAAATTTCAGAAAAAGAGAGGAAAAAAAGAAACAACACTGAAAAGTTTGAAAGTTCTCCTGCATTTCTCTGGCAGGAGGAAGGAATGAGCTTGTTCTGCTGCTGTCCCTGCTCCGCTCCCCCTTGGGGGCTCATGTAGCAGCTCCGTGTTACAGCTCTTGGAGAAAAACCCTCCGCAGAACAAACAGAAAATTCTAAGTCAGGAGCAAACTTTGCCAYGGGGTAGAGTAGCAGGGACAAAAGTACTGGGGAAGGAATTCAAGACAAGGCGCTCCAAGCCAAGAAAGGAGAAGAAAAGACCCCTTTACCAAAGTATAACATATTCCAAAAACCGACCTGTGTCTAAGAACACACTCTATGAATCTACCTCTCTTCCTCCTCTCCCCTCACATTTAACCTCTCCAGGGTGCACGCTATCTTTTTACACAGCTCTTGGCCAGTAACSTGCCCACATAACATTAAATCTTGTCTTTGAGTCTACTGCGATTCCAAGACTAGAGCTGCATGTAACAAATTCTTGGGAGTAATTTCCTATTCCAACTACATGGAATGGCTGCATGATAATGCAGCCTTATTTTCTGTGCAGCTTACAAACTCAAACTTTTATAGTAATCCAAAACAGATCCAGAAATARTACCAGAATTTTAGTTGCTGGAACTAAAGACTCTTAAAATGTGTTTTCAGGAGTGACAGTCTTGCAAACACATCCTTGATGTAGATGGAAAATTCTTGCTCTTCTCCATGGGTTTTATATGGGGCCTAAGTGAAATCGTTCAACAGGTAGAAGGAAAGAGCACAGTCTTTTTAAAGTCTGAGATTTCAAAGCCTTTCTAAAATCAGAGAGTAATGACATGACTAACACTTATCTTGTGATATGTGGTAGACATAAAGAGGATTATAATCCAGAAAAAGAAGAATTTACTCCCATCAAAAAGCAATGAATAAAGTAATGCTGTGATGAAAAACTTTACGGCTTGCTCAATGGCAAGAAATATTCATTTGGTGTTAAAAAAAAAAGAGACCTGGAAAGGAAAACATGCATTATTTAGAGTGAGCTGGTAACTCTGCCCAGGTGCTACACGCGCTGTGCTAGCAAGCAGTGGCCCGGGGATGTTGCCCCAGCGAGATGCTGGTGTCACTCTCCCTGGAAAGGCAATTAAGATCTGTCTCCTTCCATGGAGAACTTTAAGCTTCACCTAACAGTGCTGCAGAGGGGAGTATTTCTCCTGCTGCCAAGCTCTGCCCTCAACCAGCATGTCCTGCTGCCTTTGTAAACCATGGTGGTCCTGTTTCTCCCAGTTCTCATGGAAGTACAAATGGGAGGGAGTAAGTATCTGCCAACACAACTCTGCACCTTCCAGCACATTTAGCACCACTGGTAACCTGAAGAGTAAATGCCATGAGCAGAAATAAATCAGACTCACAGTTCCAGAAAGAAAACCTACCCCAAGTCAGGCTTAACAAGACTTGTGCTATATATTGGTCACAAACACGAGAAGAAACCATCCCAAATTAGTATGGGGGTTACTTCTTCCACTGCATTCTCACCTTCTGTTCTTCTTCCTCAGATTTARGTGCAAATTCCTTGCATTTCTTGTCTGGCTTTCTGATGTGATCTTTGAAACGACGCACAGCAAAGGGAAGGCGGGAGGGGGAGTCTCCGAGCAGCATCGTGTGCTTTGTGGAGCCAAGCCAAGTAGCTACTTAGGCAACCATTAGGTCGAGGAACAATCGCTTCCATCATTCCCAACACGTGTGTCAACATAATTCCATGCTCTCTTTGTCATGCAAAAAATCTTGGCAAAGCGGCCGGATACACCCAGAAAGCAGGAGCAAACTAAGCTCATTATGTTAACCGGAGATCCCACAGCATCCTCCAGCCCCATAAAAAAGGAGACTTCCCTTTTTCTTTTTTTTTTCTGCAGAGGAGGAAAGGAAACTCACTGCGGTGAAAAGGGCCTAAGCTAAGCCTGGCTTCAGACCTGTGTAGGGGATCTTCTGAACGGGGTTTGCAGGAAGGGGATCCCTCCTGTGCCACGTACCAGGGACAGAGTAGCCAGAGGCCCTGTGGCAGGTTGGGCACCACGTGTAACTCCGGAGACTTCCCTCTCCTGCAGGCCTGCTGGAGCCCTTCCTGCACGGGAAACTCCTGCCAAATGGCAGTATCTGCTCCGCTAGCCCGGCATTGTTGTCATTGGTAACTCCAGACTTTGTTTTCCTTCTAAAGAAAGATTCAATGCATTTTGCAACCATTTAACAGCTTTCCTCCTCTCCAGCTATACTTGTGTCTCCTTCTAAGAGCAAAAGGCCTGTGTACATGGGAATGGCCTCAAGGCTTGTYTGCCTGGCCAGGTCCTGGAGGAAGGCCCTTCCATCTCTCTGAAAAATGCTGAACACGTTTTCGGTTCTCTAGCAATCACAAAAGATAATAAATACCCCAGAATATATGTATTTAATAACTTAAAGTGCTTTTTTCTTTGTTTGCTTGGTTTTCATTTTTTACTAATGATTTTTAGTAAATCATTATTTTATGATTTTACATGCATTATCATTATGCATCTCTCAACTCCACATTGAGCACAATAGCAGAAAAGTCCTCGTACTGCTGGACACCTGCAAAGCCTTTCAAACCTCAGCTGCTTTGCCTCCATTCTGCCATGGGTAACACACATTTTGCAACCAGTTTTGCCTCCTGAATGCTTGCAAGCCCCGTCTTGTTTTTAGCAACGCATTCAGCAAGACTCAGCTCTCCAGCAGTCTGTGTTCAAAAGGGCCAACAAGGGCTGAAAACCAGGACGGATGAGAACAGTAAATGCTTTTCCTACATGTTGCTGACATCTCTACAGAAAGACAAGGATTTCTTTTGATTGTTGTGTTTAAGTCTGAACCAACTATTGGTCCCACTACCTGCTTTGTTCCTTTAAGATGTCATATTTTTGGCACAACCCTTTACCACCCAAACACTCAGGAATGAAGAGTGGAGTGTTGTCCAAACAGGCAAGTGTAAAAAAACCCTTTCCCCAGCATTTTCTTCTGAATGGGAATAAGCATCTGGTTTTGACTTTGCTCTTCTTCCTGCTCCATCACTCTGGGCAAATTTACTCTCTACAGCCTCCTAGAAACATATATCAAATATTGCAGAGCATTCATTAGCAACTCAGATAAAATGAGAGAGAAAAATGTGAACATACCTGAATAAGAGAAACGTTGTGCAGACTAAGTCTGAAGAGGTAGTTCCTGCATAAGCAAGAAGAAATACAAATCGTTAGGCTACCAAGAGAAGRGAGGGCAAAGTTATAAAAGTCATCGGTGTTGGTTATTCATCTGTATGACTTCGTATTCCAAATCTCATAGTGCCCAGAATGAAACCCTAGTGACACAGGGACTGCTTCTAAACCCTTGGAGCACTTTGGTTCAAGGCTGGTCTGTGCCGTGTTTTTCCCTTTCTGTATGAGAAGGCTGGAGCTGGACAAAAGCCAACCGGYGCAAAGCTGTATGCTCCCCACTAGCCCGTCCTTGCAGACCCCATCAAGGACGTTGTGGGAAAGGAGGAGGAGAGGACAGGTACTCCTCTGCACAGAAAGCCAGCAGGGAAATCAAGGCAGTGACRGCAGATACTCTCAATCCTCCTGTCATCACACCTCCACAGGCAAAGCAAGGGAATTCCTGACAAGTCACTGTCGCGTGAAATGCCCCACAAGGGCTGAGCACCTGGATCTGTCCCTCCGCACGCTCTCATCCCACTACAAACAGGAGGGAAGAGGCATCTGCATAAATATCCGTGGAAGGGCCTTAGTTAACAGGATTTGACTCTCATTTTTGCTTGCGAAGACAATGCAGCTCTCGGGATTCAGCTGACATGTATTAAGCCATAGAGATTTCATTGTGTGCTTGAGGCTTTTGGCCATGTCTAACTTCATGTTTTTGCATCCTATCTGTCAGGGAATGTGAAGAGCTGTAATCCCTTTYCAGCATCCGTGCCTCCACAGTCTCCCAGAGAAAATGCATTTATATTGRACCAGATGAACTACGTTTCCAGAGGTGGTTCTATTTTAACAGTATGAAGTRCAGCTTTGGTGATACAGCTTCATTCACTCTAGAAGTGCCCATGTACCAGCATTTCCCTACTCAGTAGCAAAGTAATCTTTTAGTCTTACAGGTGGAAAGCTCCTATGGCAATGAAGAAATCCCAAGGACTCTTCTGAAGAGCTTTGTTTAGAGCCTAGTCCTTTATTTGCCGAAGGAAATAAAGCTATTCTAAGTTCCAGGCACAAGAACTTCAGACTGGGACACAATGACCGCTGCAAGGCATGAGCAATTTTTTCTTCTTCTCTTATTTCTTCTGTATGTAATGTAAGTCATAACCGCAGAGCTGTCTATATATTTTGTCACAGATCTATAATTAGATTTTAGGGTTTGAACCAGACTGTCTATGAAGAAAGATCACAACAAGGATTATGAGGAACTCCAGGACTCAAGCTCCTGGGACCAGATCTTCAGCAGAGGTAGCTCTAATTTGCACCATCTCTAACCTATTCTGTGTTGGGACCACTTACCATTAGCAATATCGGAACCAAAGYGTATCAATAAGATGTAAGTATTTAGAGAAGTACATACACAAAATCTCCATCAATCCCACCACATGAGATCCAGCARTTCTTTCCTATGCTGAAAATATATTCCTTCTCAAAGGGCTGCCTACCTTTCCAGGTAATTATTTATTAACTCTTTAGGATCTGCCACAGGCTGAATATTCTGTCCTGCTGTGTGCAGCAGACTGGAGACATTAAGCTTATATATAAACTAAGATTCCAAAATGGAGGGAAGTTCTCATCCAGTGACTGTTTTGACTCRGCTCCCTTAGGAAAGCACACACTACTCTCACCAAAATACAAATGCATTTCCAGTATATAAGATAGCATGGAATAATCCTTCTCCTGGAGGAGTTAAGTGTGTCACAGGCCCCTAATCTTACAACACCCTAAGGAGAAAGTTCTTGTAACTGGGGACTGGAAGTTGCTATCCTGTTGTTAAGCATGCTATTTAAATGCATTGATTTTGGAAGTCTTATAACACAGATTCCAGCTCCTTGTTTTTGCTGTAAAAAAGCTGGACAGTTTGACTGAGTAATAAATTTTAATATTAAGGTTTTTTTTTTTCCCCTGGTAGCACTGTGGAGCAAATGCAACCAAAAATCTTTAATGGAAGAGACGTATCTGAAGGACACAATTTTCCTTGCGTTCAGCCAAAACAGATGCAGAGGGGAGCAGTGTCCACTGAAATACAGACAGTCACCATTCCCTCCGTGACTGCTGTGCAGCAGCTGAACAGCACATTAGTGCTGAGATCACCCAGCTGGCTGAGGCCTGAACCCGGCAGGAACTCAGCTCTAACGCTAGGCGTGCAGGGATCTTCCAAAGACCTCATASTAAGCTCAGCTCTCCAAGCCCAACCTTATGGTTTCCTTACAGAAAGAGGGTCTTCCCTGTTATTTTTCATCAGCTGCCCTCACCTGGCCACTGGCAGTTTCTCTTGGTTGGTTTGATCCTTCTCACATCTCATCAGCATAACCAGCTCCCGGGGACCCCTCTGGACTAGGGGTCAGTTCTATTAGTTAGCTAGGACTGACTAATCCTTAACTAATAACAGGCTCTTTGAACCTCCTTCTCCTGTATAAAAGCTAGTGCACAAATTGGAGGGACGGAACCATCTTCCTGTTCCCTTTCTGTCCTAAAGGGTCACAACTTTGCCCCATGCTATTAAAACAGCAGCTTTGTTGCATCCCCTTGTTGGCAGCATTTCAGCCATCTCCAGATCAAGACACTTCCTTTTGGAGTACTCTGGGATAAATCGTATTATATACAGTGCAAGGTTCTTCACACTGTTAATTATTATTACTGCTAACGTTATTCATGAACTTCAGTGCATTTCTGAAAATACCCCTGTTAATCAGTAACAAGCTAACATCTCAGTCAGGACTGCAGCTTTATGACAGTAGACACAGAATGGATTGATGGTTTGCTCTATGGAAGCAACTTCCACAACTTGAGGGAGGATCTGCAGGGAATATTACCCCAAAGCAGGGATATGAAGTTYGGTGTGATAAAGACCCCTTGCTCTATACAACCTCGTCTTGAAGAATTTGTCATCTAAACAGGTCAAGAGTGAGAAAGAGACATCATTCTCATTTCAGTTTAAAGCCCCAAGTAAGAACYTTGGCCAAGGTCACAGAGGACACCTGCAGCACAACTAGGAGCTGGTTCCTTGTCCATTAGCCAGGGCCCTAACTAGRGGGGAAAAAACCTTCCCCCAGGCTGAGGGGCAGCAGTGAGGCCTGTGCTGAATGAGTGCGTTTGCACTCATGGAAACTGGGTATACACCCAGAACTTGGGGCTCTCCATCCGCTTCTGCCTGTGGGCAGAGCCAAGCTGCAGTACAAGTCTGGTAGATGAAAGTATTGTCTGTTAATTGGCTTTGCAATTTGTATTTGGCTGCCTTGTAAAGTGATTAAGCGCTCACTGTGCCTGTACTGCRGTGCACGTGTAGCAGACACCAAGAGGGCAGCTGAGACGTGTTTTAGGAAAGAGTGGAGGAATATTTCCACCAAAATCTGCTTGCCAAGGAAATTCCCAAGTCAAAGCTGCTTACTAAGAGTCCACTTCATACAGCCAAGCACACCTGGGATGGACTTTGTAACRCGACGTCCACGCACTTGTTCACACATTGCCTCACCATGCATCAATTCACAGGAAGACAAAATGTTTCATCTAAAATGAGAGCTGAGCTACAAGAAAAATTTCCCTTTCCAATGGGAAGTCATGTGGCTAAAGAACTGCAAGGAAAGCKGAGACCCTTCCTCTAAGGAGTTCAGAAATCCTAAGGGCTGCAGGATGCTTCACGGAGCCGACACACACACTCTGCTCTGCTCTGCTCTGAGCAGAGCTCTCCTTTCAGGCACTACATCTGTCAGCGCTGCTCTTGTTGATTAAAAGATGCTTCCTTCTAATTAGAAAGGAGCGTGTTTTTCAGTTCAGTTCTGCTGCAGAAGATCAGGAAGAACTTCCCAGCAGTTGATGGATTGAAGAGGTTTTGAACAGGTGTATACGAATGGTTACTTAGCTTCAATTTTTTTTTTCTGTTTAATGAGGTTTGTTCACATTTGCCACTGCTCTCTCCTGCAAATACACTGAGGACGTGGAGTAACCTGTCTGCTCCAGCACAATCCCTGTTGGAGATGTGAAGCCACAAGATCCCGTGACACAGGATATCRTCAGAACCTCTCTACACTTCAGCACAGAGCAGATGATCACTTAGCACTGCTTTCACTTATGCTAGCTCTGCTACATCACTAGAGGACATAGATATTTATTCATGTGGTCCTGCTTTCCAGCACCCTACAATAGATGCAAGGTCACTTAGGCCACCTCATTTTACAGGGCAGGGATTTCAAGCCCCCTCTCCCTACACAGACAGTTACCCAGAAGTAGAAGTGCAGTAAGCAGAAGCTAACAGTACCTTCTGATCATGCTAAAAAATGGTTGGAGAGCTGAAGAGCAGTGAGAGAAGACTTACTGTCCCCTTTTGGGGCTATTATCACACGGAAACAGTCATCCATCCAATACAGCTTAAGTGAGACACTGGAGACTTCAAGTGGGCTAGTGGGGCTCTGGGAAGGTTCTTCCCATCCTTGCGCTATGGTCAGGTGCCAGGTCTACCTCTACAGTGTAGATAATAAGGAAAATAATTAACAGAATAGGGTCCTGTGGGTKATGTGAAACAGGACATAGAATTACGCCTGTGCCAAACCTAATGCTCCCTCCTGGCATGGTCCTGGAAGCCATATCCTATGGCTCAGCCTCAGGCTAGGAGCCAGGAGCTCTTCTCATCTCATGCTATCTTTGCTTCTGGAGGCCTTACATATACTTTGTACTTCCACTGCATGTTACAAACATAGCTTAGCCATGCTTAGTGTCATTCCCTCTGGATAGTATCATTTCCTCTACAATAATAATGARAAAATGAGCCAGAGAAATGTTAAATGTCCTTCTCCAAAGCGCGGAGCAAGTCAGTGATGGAACTGAGATGAGCCCCCAGGGCTTTTGGTTACGAAATCTCAARATAGATTACAGCACAGTGCCTCTGTGGAGGCCGTGGGAGCTGTGGCTGGACTCTTCAGATGCTTATCCACATTTCTGAACAAGCCAACTGTGGCAAGAAAATCCGCTCCTGAAGGGTGA